TACGAACATTTTTTTTTTAATTAAATCAAATTTGATTATATAAAAAAAATAGGATTGCCATTTGAAAATTGAAAGTTGCTACTAATTTAAAGCATAAGAGATGATCATAAAAATGTAATTTTACTCACTGAGCAGCTAACATAATACTTAATAATAAAAAAAAAAAAGATAACTCTTATATTTTCAGAAATAATTTGTGAGGCATAGTTAATCAATCACCCTGTATAAACAAATTAATGAATTATTTATTTAAGTATGCATAAATGGCACTAATCTATGAACTATGAATATTAATTTACGAGTTGTATAAGAACAATGAAACTTAAAAAAATGTTACGCGAACAAAGCATGTTTATAAAACAAAAGATTTACAAAATTTGATAATAGTGTTAATTTTATTTAATATACAATTTTGAAATAATGTGTTACATTGAAACGTCACAGGCATTGTACTTGTTTATTATAGAAATGTTATCTATTAAGAAGTTTTGTACAATACTACACAACTTTGTAAAATTCATGATTTTTTTTTATTAAAAATGTGCATGTCAAATCGGTTTGAAATGATTATGTAAAATTTAATGTGCATTTTTTTTTTTTTTTAATTCTACATCAACATACTCAATACCATTATTTTAACTTGGGTATGAAATATTCTCAATATCTTGTTATCCTTTTTATAATTTTGTAAAATAAAAACAAAAATTAGAATATATCATTCATTTATAAATAATATAAGGAAAAAATAATATAACCAGGACGTAATTAAAGATAGATGAGAATACTCCTCTAAAGATAATATTAAATATGAAGAGATTATTTTCTTTTCGTTTGAAGGCAGTAGAGAATTCTTTAATTAATATAAAATCATGGTAGTTAACCCCCCTATATTCTATGTTATAAAAGTTATCTCGATCACATGACAAATACGCCCTGTTGTTGGGACCCACTTGAAAATAATGTACTGGGACGCAATTATGAGCCAGGTAATTAAAATCACTATCATAAAAAATGCTTCAATTAAATTTGTAGATATTTTTTTATTTAAAAAATTGGTAGATTATTCCAAAAGCAACCTGATTTCCTATTTCCTTATTTATAAGTGTAATATATTAAATATATATATATATTTAAAGGGAAATGATTTTATTTAAAAAAAAAGTATATCGAATGAAAGAAGTATATAAATATTATTTCTCATTAAAAAATTGTATTGTTTCATACATTTTTCAAAAAGTTATAGCGTTATAAAGTTAAAACTGTAAAATATAAAATTGAAAATTTTAACACAAATATAGCATACGGTAGCCAATTTTACCGTGAAGACAAAATAAAGCTCGAAATTTTTTTTCCATAATAAAGTATATTACATAATATTAATTTAAGATATATATAAAAGTCACACCTTCCGGAACACTTTCAAATGTTAATTTTTTATGAAAAAGTTGTCTTTTTAAATCCCTCCCCTGTGGGCATGTAAAGGGTCAGATTTATAAAAAAATTATACCAAATGATAGGTAAAGACATCTATAAAAAAAAATTATATTGATTTGATTTTGAGTAAAAAAAATGTCAAAAATTATCAATTTTTAAATGTGTAATTTTTTTGGAGATCTCCCCTATTTACGGGGAACAAGGGAAATTTTTTAGTAAATGTTTTTAACTAGATACGATTTGTGATATTTTGATATATGTTTGAAAGAAATCTAAGAAAAAGTGGTAACAGATACAAAAAAAAAAAATAATAATAATAAAAAAAATCATATTAAAATTAATATTAAAATACCTTTTCAGCTGCGCATCGAAGCTAAAATTGAATTCTTCAATTTTTTTTTATTTAAGAAATACTAAAAAGTTATCAGTTTTTTTTTAATAATTATTTTTTAAATACCTTTATATTATGTCGAACATTGTCAGTTAATAACTCTCGTTTTTACCCTTCCCATATACATTATTTTTCTTAAATATCAAAGTCATACTATACTCATTGTTAAATAATTTAAAGTAGACTAGCAAATTTTGACATTTCTCTGAACCAACTTTATTTTAATAAGACATTAACAAAATAAAATCATAGATAGTGTATAATTTTTAGAAAGAATTGTTGAATTTTTCAAAAAGTAAATTATTTGCTTAATTATATTCTGAAGATTTATGATTTATAAATATAATGTATTCATAAATACTTAAAGCAATTTAATTTAGTATGAAATTAATATTCCAAATTTAATACTGCAATTTTTACTGAAGAATGATAAAGTAGTTGTACATTTCATTACATTCATTCAATATGAAAAACGTGTATCAAAAAACAAAACCCAGCCCAGTGGGGTCGCGGCATAGTGGGCACGTTGCATAGTTGAGTCCAGTATAGATTTAATCTGACAGTGATTGAAATCACTATCATAAGAAACGCTTCATGCAAATCTCTAGATAGTGTTTAATTCTAAAAAATTGATGGATAATTACAACAGCAACATCAACTTCTATTTCCTCAATTATACCCAGATTAGTAATTCTTTCAATTTTAAATTTTAATTTCAATTAAAATATATATTATATCATTTTTAAAATTAATTGTTTTCAAATTATTATTGATTTTGATTTTTAATATGTTAAAAGTAATCATTTCGAACCTAATTTTTTTTGTCATTTAAAGTGAAAGTTTTAATAAAAAAAAAATGAATTTATTACAATAACTTTTAGCTCAACTTGCAAGTTTGAAATTGACATTATTAAATAAAAAAAAATTAAATTGTTAAGATTAATACGCAATCAGAAAATTTTATAATTACTTTTTACAGTACATTTATCAGAGAAATTCGATTTTTTTTACATTTTTATCGTAATAGATCACTTAAATAAAAATCAAAGTAATCATTTCTAATTAACTTATGGTGTTTAAAAAGATTCTACAATGGAAATATTCAGAATTTAATTAATTTTAATGATTATATATCTAAAAAAACCTATAAAAAAAAAGTTGTTAAAAAGATTTACTCAATTGAGCGTATTATAAAATTTGATTATAATTGTAAAAATCCATCGTGAAACTAAAAATCATTTTTTTTTAAATTTATGATTTATATAGCAACATATTATAAAAAAATTTGGAATATTATAGTCTAGTAGTAGCACACACAAATAGAGTAAAAAAATTATTAAATTACAAAGTAAAATGATTTAATTTTGTAGTTGAAACCTATCATATCAAGTCTAATTCGACAATAAATACTTTAAGAATATTAGAAATTAATGATTTTAATTGTTTGTATGGAAAAAACTGCTTAAGCTACTTTTTATTAGAATAAGGAATATTTTTTCGATTTTTAAGAGTAATAACTTAAACTAAATACAAATTGGAATCATTTGACGTATCGTTGAAAAAAGTAGGTCTAGTGAGGGTTGGCAAAATAAATCGTAGCCAGAAAAAGAACCACATAGTAAAATAATATTAACATGAATATAAATTTCTTCTCACGGGGGGAGACTATAGTGATAAGATCTTTTATATTTATTAAAGTTGTTGAATCTAAATGAGATAAATATCAAATGATTTGAAAATTTTATTCTAACTCAAAAAAAAATGCAAAATAGCAACCGACGGATATGAACCTCGTGCCCTAAGCGTGAAAGAGACCAAACCCAACCCAACCGATTCGGCAACTGTTCGTTGCTTTCGGCACATGATAAAATTGGCTATATAAGCCAACCCAAATTTAAAAATTACTTATTCAACTTTAAAAAAGTAAAAAAAATTTAATAAATTTAATTTCTTATGTCTTACGAACTTTATTCTATGTCAATTAAATTATATAATATTCATGAAAGTCAGTGTATTCCCCTAATAAGATATTTTAAAATAAGATAAAATATAAAACCCAGAATTTTAATACAAAAATAGCATATTTTTGAATACGGTAGCCATTTGCGCATAGAAGATAGGTCGTCGGAACAAATTTTTTATTTTTTATTTTTTATTTTATAGTACATGTCATAAGCTTTAATTTGACATATGTTTAAAGGACGCAGTATTTCCAGAACATTTTCATAAGTTAAGTTGAAAAAGTTCTAATTTTTATACAACNTTTCAAAAGTTTAGTTGAAAAAGTTCTATTTTTTATACAATGTTTCAAAGTTTGAACCCCCCCTATATAAGGGGAAATTGTCCAATTTTAATAAAAAGTATGTCAAATGAAAGATGTACTTATAATGTATTTAGAAAAATAAATTGTGCTGATACTTACATTTTTCAAAAAGTTATAGCAATTTTAAGTTGAAAATTTNGAAAAGTTATAGCATTTTTAAGTTGAAAATTAAAAATTGAAAATCGAAAATTTTAACACAAAAATAGCGTTTTTTTAACTACGGCAGCCGTTTGCATGCAGAAGATAAAGTGTCGGGACAAATTTTTTTTTTTCATTTTATAGTACATAATATAAGCTTTAATTTGGTATATGTTTAAAGGACGCAGTATTTCCTGAACATTTTCAAAAATTAAGTTGAAAGAGTTAATTTTTGTAAAAAAGTTGCTATTTCAAATCCCCCCCTAGTGAGTGGGTTAAGTGTTAAAATTTCAAAAAAATGATATCAAATAAAAGGGAAATATCTAAGGTTTTAGTATTAAAAAAAAATTATGTTGATTTGTTGATTTTTGAAAAAGTTATGGAAGTTTTAAGAAAAAAAAGTGAAAAAAATGACAAAATTTACCGATTTTTAAAATTATAATTTTTTTGGAGATTTCCCCCATTTGCGGGGAACGAGGGAAAATTTTTAAATTTTTAAGGGTAATGTCTTCAACTAGATACAATTTGTGATCTTTTGACGTATTGTTGAAAGAAATCGGTCCAGTGAGAGCTGAGAAAAAGTAGTGACAGACACAAAAAATAAAAATAAAATAAACACATCATGGTAAAATTAATACCTTCTCAGCTTCGCATCGAAGCTAAAAATAATAATAATACAAATTTAATTTAGATATTTTTCATTAGTAATCTAACCTTTGTTTCCGGTAATATCATTTTTTCCATGTTAACGTCTTTAGTGAAATCAACAAGAGTCATTGTAATACCGAATTTTGATGCCACTTTTGAAAAATAACGGTTTGTGCCACCATACATATCATCTCCAGCTAGTACATGATCACCAGATTTCAAAAGATGTGCGACAGCCGTCGTTGCCCCTAAACCAGACGAATAAGTGAGACAATATTTAGCATCTTCTAAAGCAGCAATGCACTCTTGTAATACTGATCTACTTGGATTTCCACTTCTTCCATACTCAAAACCCTTTCAAAAAAGTGGACTAATTGTAAATGTTTTACTTATGATACCAATTAAACATCTAATCACTAAATATTACTTTTAATGAATACAAGTTTTTTGGTCGCATTTAATTTGTGCCAAAAATTACATATAGTATTAAGGGTTTAGGTAACTTTAGATCTTTGAAAAGTCAATCAGTCCGTTTTGATATTTTAGCGTGTGTAAATCGATAAATATAAGTAATACCGGGGTGTTAGTCAAAAGTATTTATAACAGTCTTACTGACTATTTCATCTGATATTTTAATATACAATTTATATTATGGGGTGTTTGCGGTTGCTACCTTACTTTAAAAACAGACTCAAATGCCCTGCAAAAATAATACATCAATTCAAATTTCAAAAACATTGTATTATCATAGCTACATGGGTCAATAAACAAATATTCTGTTATCAATTGAGTAAACAATAAATATATCATACTGAATTATTGATATTCGTACCGGATGCAAGATGTAACTGTTTTTATCGCGTCTTTTTTGTCGCACAGTTAACGAAAATAATTAATAACTGTAATGAATTGATAAATATAAAATTCAACGCTTACTATGACCCCGGCACTACGTTAAATTATATAATATTAAAATAGTAAGTATTATTATAATTTATAATTACTATTTATGTTGATTGTAATTCATGATCTATGGCAAAATTAAAAGAAGAAGAATTTACTTAAGTAGGTATATATAGTTTTATATGGCCTGATGAAATTTCAAAATAGTCTACTTGAAATTTCGCACCCCCCCACCAAAAAAAAGAAAAACTGAAATGATGTCCCTAGTCTAATGTACAGAAACGTAAGTTTTGACGCATAGGGTCACAGGTTCGATCCCCAGGGTGCCAACGAATATTTCTTGTGATTTTCTCATTGATGGTGTCTGGTCTCTGACGCAATCCGGCCATAATAACCATCCAGTCCATCATTGGCTTAGCCAAGAACCATCTTTGACTTGCTAGCATGTGACAGAGGGTCACCATCCTCTATAGCATGTTAAGTTTGGGAAATAGAAGAATGCAAAACTGATCATTTAATTAACTTAATATTTACATCTAATTTTCGAGATTATAATTTTAATTTTTCAATGTACATACGAATTAATATATATTATTTATTTCTATACCTATATAAAATCTGGGGCAAAATAATTCAAATTAATGTCCTCAAGTTTTTTACTCACGTAATGTTTAGCTGGAGCAATTTGTTTAAAAGTAGTTGTCATTGATATTGGGGGTATAACATTTCGAAATGTCCATTTGTCTGGGTTTTGTCCAGCATGAATAGCCTTAGTTCCAAAATGTGGATCTATTGCCAATTTAAAAATTTTATTAGGATCGGACATTTCTGTAAAAAACAAATAAAATGTCAAATTTAAAATAAAAAATGAAATAATATGTAAAAAGTATGAAAAATAATTAAATAATAATTTTGTATGAAAAAGTTTTAAAAGTAAATTTTTTTGTTATTCCGTTTTACATAAAATGATTGCTAAAAAATTGGGATAAAATCATGCTTTAATATAATTATATTTTGGTTCAATATTTATTAATATTAAGCTATCAAGAATATGTTATTATTGTACTATTTAAAGTGAAATATATCCTCAAATACTACTTTATAGACTTAGATTGAACGTTATACAAATGTAATATTTAATTAATTGACACAGGAATTCAATTAAATAGGAATTAGACATCCCCAAAACTTTTGAAGATTGCTTACATTGTTATATAAAAATATTTTTAAAATTCGAGAAAAATTTAGTACCTTCAAACATTTTATTCTACTTGAGTCTATAATGTTTATCCATTATAAAACATAATTTAACTTAAAATTAGTTGCGTAGCCAGCAATATTACTTTAACGTGACCTCGTCAAATTTCTAATTTCTCGCGCGGAGGAGACCTAATTTTTTATAAATAGTAGGCATTTATTTGGGTTTCTCATAAGTTTAGTTTGCTAATTCTAATGCTAAGAAGAGAAAAGCTAGCAAACAGTGGAGTAATTAGGGTTTCATTTTAAGTGGAGATATATATAAGAACATTTTTCACTTCTTCCAAATAAAAAAAATTTATCTTCGCCATATAATTATTTTTTTATGGGGGATATGACACCCATATTCTCTTCATAATTACGCCATGGCTAGCAAAATAAAGATAACAGATTAAAATTAGTTAAATATTATTTAAGACTTTATCAGTTATTATTATGAATTAAAGCAATAATTTTATCTTCGATGCGAAGATAAGAAGGTATTTTTATTATTTAATAGCTTGGAGGGAGGCTAACCCTAATATCTTTCCCCTTAGTAAACCATTAAATAACTTTTAATCATAATCATATGATATCATTTAATCATAAGGCTAATGTGATATTTTGAAAAATAGTATTTCAAAACCACTATCAAATTAAACAGAATCATTTTTTAAAATGAAAATTTAAGTATCTTGACAAGTTGATTAAGAATTATTTTAAACTTCGTTGTGGTTTCTGTCCTCCGTCCTATTAGGAAAATTATTTGTTAATGATAAAATTTAGAAAATATATTAAAAATTGTATTATGGATGTCTCCCCAACCACCCCATAAGTTATCACACTATAATGGTTTCAATAAAATACTTAGGTTAATCGATTTAATTATTTTCAAAAAGTATTAAGATCTAAACAATTAAGACACACAAAAAATGTTAGTAGAAATAACAATTGATAAATTATTAATTTACTTACTTATTTGATTTTGCGGATTATAATTATGGATAATAAATACCGCAAAACTGTTGTTTGGCAATTACAGAGGTAAGCACGTGGCTGGTAAATAACAACTACCAGTGAATTGAAACTAATAGAGTAGCTAACCACTTAATAATGTTTTGGTGATACAATGTACATCCTACTATCATGTTGTTGTCAATAGTCCTTGATGATGCGCATGCGCTAAGTGCTATACATGCATTTTTTACCACTTTTCATATTCAAAATTTTACCAACTTAGCTTAAATAAAGAAGTGATTATTTTTTTTATTAATTAAGGTGTAATACGATCAAAAATTATCAGAGCCTATATATAGAACTTCATAAGGAAGATGTTTAATTCTTAAACATTTAGGCATAAAAATAAATTATACCAATAACATAAACTTAAACAACATTTCTTTTAAAATAACTTTTCAAGTATGTAACAATAAAAATGGACATATGTTAACATGCTTACATACAAGTCTTTAGTGTTTCACAAAGAGGTTTTTATTAAAAAAATCATTAATAAAGTGGCAAGTGAGAATTGAGTATTTTCCTATATAACACAATTATTTGCAAAAAATAAAGGTTATTAATAAATAGTTTTGAATGTATATTAGCCTGTTTAAAAAATCGCCAGACTTAAAAAAAAAGTAAAATTATTTCATTGGCTCGAAATCTTGAAAATTATTTTTATTATATTAAAATTATCGTAAAACAATTATATTTTAATTGTGCTTAGTCTCTTTAAAAATTAATTTTTACGATCCGTTAATTTCTAGCCAACTTAATTTTGATGTTTTAAATATACAATTTTACATTAACTTGACCTATTGAGTAGTATAGATTATTTTAAGTAACATATATTTTTATTAAAAATAACATATATTCATTCATTTTTAAATTCATATCGATTATTTCTTAATTTTTTAATGTATTCACTTTTTATGAAATTAAATTATTGAATTTGTCAATTTAGTAAATAAGATAAAAGAATTAGATCACCTAAGAAAAAAATAATTACTAGGTATATCATTTCTGTCAAGTTAACATTTTTCTTATGAATATCATACACCTAAATAGTACCGTAGTTTTGCCACAGAGTCATATGAGTGAATGATACCCATTGAATTTATAGGTATATTTACCGAAGTTAGTAAGTTGAGCAATATGTTTTATGAAAAATGAGTCTTCTACATAAGTTCTTTAAAAATTGTTTTTAGGCGACAAAATTACCAGAAATTGGAAGCTAAATAATAAAAATACTTTGAAAAAACTAAAAAATGTTTAGAAGGGGTTATGTTAACTATTCACATTCATGCGTTTAACGCACATGCGAACTGGATGATTGAATATATAGAATGCGGGTGGCATTCTATATTTATTTGGAATTTTCAAAATATAAGAATGCGAGTGAAAAAATATAAATAAAAGGCAATATTTATGATTTTGTGTAGGGCGTAATCAGAGGAGTCTAAAGAGGTATTAACCCTCCAAAAATTATGAAAATTACACATTGATTTATATAGATATATTTTTAAGGGAAGAAATTAAGTTAGATACCCAAACATTTTGTTAAAATTGCAACTTTGGCCAAGTACTTATGATATCGCTCTTATTCAAAGGATTTTTGAAAATGTACATATTTCATAAGGTAATTCAATAATTCATAAACACATTTATGTATAGTATTAAAAATTTAGTGGCGTTTGCTCTTGTTGACTTTTATTTTATCATTACAAGAAATATTCATTCAAGTCTTTAAGCGAAAAATGGTATAGTTAGTAATTGATAAATTTAACTTCGTATGTATAACATTAAATTTAGAACTTTTGTATTTAACACGATCATTTTTCTATAAGTTGAATTGATATGCATAGGAACGAAACAAATAAAAGACAAAAATAGTATAATTTTCATAAATAAATTACATTAAGCATATAAAATTGAATACTTTAGTCTATTAATTACATTATGTACACATAAACTTCTACAAAATTTTAAATCACAACTCTGGAATGTTAAGTAAAAATTAATTACGTATATAATGTAAAAAAATAAATAGTATATTATAACTAATTTTATAATAAGCTTACATTTACAATAATAATATTATAAATTTTAATTTTAAGTACGGAGGTTACGTCTCTGTTTTTTTTCAAGATTTTAAACATTAATAAAATTAAATTTCGTCAACTTATTATCATGAAAACTAATGATAATATGAATCTTCGATTCTAATCGTAAGTACCTAAATGATTCGTGAAAATATTTGTAGCATAACAGAAAATTGGATATTAATTTAAATGGCACTATTTAAAATATTTTAAATATAAATTTTTAAATATTAGGAATGTTGTATAGAAAAATATAAAACATTTAGATATACATAGAGATATGTGTCAAAGGTGAAAAAATTATAAGTATTAACAGTTACTGCATAATACTTAAAAAATACAGGATAAATTTGCTTAACATAAAATGGCAGTGGATAAGTTGCTAATTGATTTTAAGACATAAGCTAAAATGGTATTTTTTCAAATAATATAAATAAAATATTAAAATCCTTTTATTTAAAATAATAATTTTAATTTAAAGAAGACTAGAAAAATATGATTAATTTCGATAAAAACTTTTTCGATTATTTAAATATAAAAACTTCCAAAATTTTGAAGTAAAAATATATTTTACAAATTTAAATTATTTCACTAATAAAAAGTTATACTATATATACAGGGCAATAGATTGAGGATAAGACAATTACTTTTTCATATACTATTGAGAACTTTATATTTTTGAAAAAAATATTTGGTTCAAAAAACTATAAAATATTATTATATAGCTAAATAATTAATTTTCTTAAATGGGAACTATTATTTTTAACTACAAGCATTTAAATACATAGAGTAGGTATGTGTTACAAATGGGTACAGCTAGTAAAAGTGTAAGTGCATTCTGCTTGCTCTACATATCTACTCTATGTATTAATATGCTGTAACGAATAAAAATAAATTGTAAGAACAAAAGAGTTTAAAATTTTTTTTCTATTATCTCTTAAGTATTATTACTTTTTTATTGCAATCAAGTGATTTAAAAATTGAGCTTTTACTTTCCAAATTTATACACAATAAGATTTACACTTAAAAGTAGTTAAAAATTGTGATTCCATTTAAGCAAATCAAAGTTAAGTATTTTTTTTTACTCTGAAAGAATGAATAAATTATATAACCATAAGTCATTTTAAAGTTTTTGAACTTCATATTTTTTTTCAAGTTTAAATTTCTCAATAATTTCTGAAAAAGTAAGTGTCTTATCCTTAATCTATTCCCCTGTTTCAGTCCTAACTGACAATAAGAGAAGTATGTGGATTTGTCAGATAGAACTGAGACATCTTATATATAAAAGTAAAGTCAGTAACGAATCTTCTGAAAAAAAAAAATAATAATCAAATAAATAAAAGATAAAAATTCTCTAACCTTTTTTTGGACATCACAACTTAAAATATAAATAAATAGCACTAAAAAATCATATTGATAAAAAAAAAATGAGACCATTAGTTATTTTCATCTTAAAGAACATTTGTTACATTAAAATCAAAATTCATTTTTGAAAGCCACATTGAAGTGAGTGCTTATTGGAAATATATTTGCATTTTTTTATTGTAATTATACTTATTTTACTTATTAGTGAATTAATCATAGAGGTAACATCATTTTTGTACTGCTTCAAATCAAATACTAAACTGAAGTTTCACTCGAATCTATCCTGTAAAAAAAGTAAGCAAAAAGTTATATTTGAAAAACTTAGTACAGCAATTGAAAATTTTTATACTTATTTTGACAATTTTTTTTATAGTGAAAAATGTTATCAAAATTAATTAAATTAACATAACATCATTAGCAAGAACTTATTATTATTGAGAAATAATAAGTCTATTAAATTAGTTACAACAAGAATATGATTTAATGTAAATTTCATTACATGTCTACAAAATAAAAATAAATTATGCATTATAAATTACTTTATTTTCAATAATTACCAACATATTAATTTATTTATTTAAATAAAACAAATTTTAATACATACCTCATCTTCTTCACTATAAAAATTCAAACACCAATGCAGCAATGTAAAAGAAGAAAAAACACCATTATACGTCATATTATATTGATAATATATAAATGAATATTAATTTGTTAAACTAATATAGTAAAAATAGAAGAGAATTGTACATGATCTTTACTGATAAAAATTTAAGTTCAAGTTTAATAAATTGCAATTTATTTAAATGGTATATCAAACTATTTAATTTTTATTAATTAAAAAAAAAAACCATAGTAAAATTTTGAATCAAGAAAAATAAAGTTAATCGGACACATCATCCGGCACAATGACTTTATAATCAACATCTTCGAAAGAAAAATAACTGGGAAGAAACCAAGAGGGCGCCCAAGGAAACAATATTTTGAAAATAAACTGGAACTAATGAACTATACGTCTTTTGTTTCACTGAAGAATTTGGCATCAAACAGAGAGTAAAGCTTCAACGACAAGGAATTACCTTTAATAAATAATGATGATAGTAAAATTTATATTTTTGGGCCGTGGTGTGGCGCAGTGAATCATTCAGTTATTGCCTTAGTGTTGATGTTTAGTTGAGCTGTTTGTTGTTGGTTTTCGAATGGATGACCATATAGGAACTTTAATCTTTTCCCTAACTGACTATAATGAAGATACGTCAAGTATTTAAAAATCCTGTCAAATAATTGTAAGGTACAGCCATCCCCAAATAGCTGGGATAGAAACTAAGGAGATAACAATGAGTCAAATTTATATTTTAAAAATGTTTTATACATTTGTTTAATTAGATTCAGTAAAGAACATTAAAAATCAAGTTGATGAGTTTGGTTCATGCATTAAAAATATTGACATTATTTATGCATTTTAAAGTTAAATAACAGTGTTAATACAAGTGGTGTTCAATTATTTTCAATTAATAAACAATTATTCTGTAAAATTTTATTCTTAAAAATTTACAAATCTGGCGCATATTCATGTTTAATATCTTTCAATCTATGTACTTAGTATACTTTTTCTGTCACCTTTGGTCCAAAGGCTTTGGAATATGTGCTCAAACCTCCTTCTGACATTTTACTGAAATTCGCCTATACAGGGTGATTTTTTTATCATAATCCACTCAATTACTTACAGAATAATAATAATTTAAACATTTTTTTTATGTATTATCTTTAGTTAGACATTATTCTTGAATTTTTAACTATGTAATACTTTTTAAGTTCATCCCTTATGCCTTGTAAGGGGGTCAACTTTGTTTTTTTAAATGGTAACACATATTTTTAATTTAATAAAATGTTTGAGTTTTTAATTCAACAATAAATGGCATTTGAATTTTTAATAAAACTTAATTTGTTTATTATATATTAACATTTAAAGTTTCAAATTTTTGAGTTAATATATAGGTATAATACACAAGGGATTATAAATACAGGTAGCTAATTGGATTTTTATGACATTGCTGTCTCAGTCACGGATTGTTTATTATCAATAGATATATTTTCTGTATTATCAGTTAGTGTATTTATAAACTCACAACAATGTACCTTACTATCATTGATAATAACAATGCTGTATACCTGCTAATATCGATGTCATAAAAAATCAATTAGCTACCTGTATTTGTAATCCCTTGTGTATTGTACCTATATATTAACTCAAAAATTTGAAACTTTAAATGTTAATATATAATAAACAAATTAAGTTTTATTAAAAATTCAAATGCCATTTATTGTTGAATTAAAAACTCAAACATTTTATTAAATTAAAAATATGTGTTACCATTTAAAAAAACAAAGTTGACCCCCTTACAAGGCATAAGGGATGAACTTAAAAAGTATTACATAGTTAAAAATTCAAGAATAATGTCTAACTAAAGATAATACATAAAAAAAATGTTTAAATTATTATTATTCTGTAAGTAATTGAGTGGGTTATGATAAAAAAATCACCCTGTATAGCTCATGGAGACTCGTTTTTTTTTTTTTTGAGCACCTCAAATTGGCTCTCTTCTAGCTTTGTTTTTGTTGTGGGTTAGAATTAAAAGTCACAGAGACCCCGGGCTGGTGAGTAGGGCAAGTAAGGGAACATATGGGTTCCATAATAGTTCAGGAACTAATATAAACAATCATCCCAGTCTTTATGAAACACTATTGTATATGCCAACAGTTTTTCAAATAATTTTTGTGTATACAAATAATTAAGATTAAAATAAGATAATACATCCATTCTAATAAAAACTTACTCAGACTCTAATATTTCTTGTATTTCATACTCATTAGTGTAACCATGTCTAGTGTGCAAATTAAGAGTAGAAGTGGAAGCTTGAGTAGGCGATACAGACTGACTATATGTTATTGTTGGTACAAACCTATTATCAACACTATGTATTGAACCATTTTCACTTCCTCGGCTAATTATAGATGAAGGCATGTTTATGTTGTATAAATCACTATGTCTATGTGTTTCCCCATATATGTCTCGATACGGTGAATGGCAATGATCTTCTTCAGCTATTAAAAAATTAACAAACATGTACATTAAATTAATTTTTAAATTCTTAGTTGCATTTATATTATTTTTTTTAACAATGTTTACCTGTGTAAGGAAATAAATATTTTTCTCCAAGACTAATTTTATCATCAACATCACAATCTGATCCAGTTTTATTCAAAGAATTAAAAGTTGAACTTTTATGATAATTAAAATCTCCATTGTTTATTAGAGGAGGTTCAAAAGACATTCTATTATTGATTACTGAATTATCAGGGTCAGAAATGGTTGATCCTATCCAACGATGTTGTTCTTCGCTATGTTCTTCTTCTTGAACTATAAAATACAATTTACAATTATTAATTTAGGTATTTTTTTTATAATTTTGATTTATTAGTAATAACATATCTTATTAACAATAATTGCATAAAATTAGTTTTAGCTTTGATGCGAAGCTGAGAAGGTATTGGTTTTACTATGATGTGTTTTTTTTTTGTATATGTTACCACTTTTTCTCAGCTCTTACCGAACCGATTTCTTTCAATGATATGTCAAAAGATCACAAATTGTATCTAGTCAAAGACATTACCCTCAAAAATTGAAAAAATTTACCTCATTTCCCGTAANTGTATCTAGTCGAAGACATTACCCTCAAAAATTGAAAAAAATTCCCTCGTTCCCCGTAAATGGGGGAAACCTCCAAAAAAATTACAAATTTAAAAATCGCTAATTTTCGAAATTTTTTCAATTTTTTTTGCTTAAAATTGCCATAACTTTTTTAAAAATAACCAAATCAATAGAATTTTTTATATAGATGCATGATATCATTACCTTTAATTTGGTATATTTTTTGTATAAATCTGACCCTTTACCTGCCCATAGGAGGGATTTAAAATGACAACTTTTTCACAAAAAATTGACTTTTTTAACTTAAATTTTGAAAGTGTTCCGGAAGGTGTGACACTTTTCTATATATATTAAATTAAAGATAATGTAATCTACTTTATTATGTAAAAAAAAAATTTCGGACTTTATTTTGTCTTCACGGTGAAAATGGCTACCAAATACTATTTTTGTGTGAAAATTCTAGATTTTTTTTTTAAATTTTTAACTTTATAATGCTATAACTTATTGAAAAGTGTATGGATCAACACAATATTTTCATGAGAAATAATATTTTTTTATAATTTCTTTTTTATTCGACTTACTATATCTTAATCAGGATATTAATAAGGAACTAGCAGATTATGTAGTTTTTGGAATAATCTACCAATTTTTTAAAATTAAACACTAAAGATTTGCATCGAAGCGTTTTTTTTTTATAGTGATTTTAATCACTGTCAGATATCATTATACTTGATCCAACTATGCTACGTCACCACTGTGCCGCGACCCCCCTGTGCTGGGTTTTTTATTATTATAATTAATCTAAAATTACAATTTACTTCTATTGTAAACTATATTTTTACACTACTCAAATTTAAAATACCTGTAGGATATGGTTGATTTGTCCATCGTGGAGCATACAAAGGTTTTAAATTAGGAAACAATTGTGAATTTGTGATGACATTTAGAGATGGTGGCATACCAGGATCTTCATTTATATCTGGTAAGAAAGGTGTAGGTCTAGTAGAGGTAACATTACTCCTAAGTCCTTGATGACGGGAAGAATCATCATCATCACTGCTATGTGATGATGCTAAATCTAAGCTTCTCCCTTCACCTGAACATTCAGAATCAGAATCTGATGTATGATGAGTCCTATGGAAACTAGATGGCAAATCAGAAATAGAATGATCATAGTTACTTGTTGTTGTTGATATATTCCTTAGATGAGTATCAGTCCTAAAACATGTTGGACTTAAAATTATCATAAGAAACATAACAGGAAACACACTATCAAATTTACCTATAAGGACTACTACTGGTCTTGTTAGTTGAACGAGAAGTTGTACTAGACATAGAAATTCCCAATGGTTTTCTCGGTATATCAGACCCCAAAATACCTGTAGTATTACGGTATGATAATGAAGATCTAATTGTTGGAGGTGATACAGCATCAATACCAGAATCTGGTCCATTTTTTTCAAACACTTCTTTACCAATAAGTCTTAGAGCGCAATGATGAACTCCGCATCTAAGTTTAGCATTAGAATAACATAAACCTACTAAAATAAGCCAACCTTGACTGCAAACAGCTGCACATAATGAGTATGTGAGTCGAGTATCATGTTCTGAAGCTACTACCACTTCTAATAACCATACTCCAACAAGTATAGGTACACAGATAACTTGTACAACTAAAACACTTCTAAAAACAGAAACAATAAAATTATTAAATAATAATAGTTTAAAAATAATTATGGGTGTTTACCTCAAATTTCCATAGCCAAGAACATGATCTTTAAGAGTGAATGCAGCTCTAATACATAACAGTAAAACAATAATAGTTATGGCAATAGCCAAGCATGTTGGTGCAATTAAACTCCAAATAACAGACTCATAAACTGACAACCAACAGAAATAGAAATTTCCATACTGGTTAATACGAACGCCAACAGACAAACTAACAATAATTGCTGGTAATACATAGCCAATACTATGATAAAATCCCATTTGGCCATGATTAACATCACGAAGTTCAGTCAACATACGATATAAATGAAGTGCGCTGACTAAAGACCAACCTATAGTTGCCAACCAGGTATAGTGCAAGATAATAGCACAAAATTTACACCATATCTAAAAGTATTAAACAAATATTAACTTAATATTATATATCAAAAATTTGTTAAAAATTAAATACCTCATAAGTATATAAAGATCCTCTAGTTTGAGTAGCTGCTAAGTAAACACATTGAGTGAGTAAAAGACAAAATGCAAGATGAGTATAAATTGAACTTGTATTAGTTCCAGCACGCACTGCAACTAGTAATATACAGGTAACAATCAAAGCAATGATAGCTAATCCAAATGAAATAAAAATTGTAAACAACTCAAAATTGGAATACTCAATAATGAACTAAAAAAACAATTATTTAAATAAATATATATAAATATTATGCGACAATTAAAATCCATACAAGTTCATCAACAACATCGGTAAGAACAGCATACGTCGACAGTTGATTACAAGTGCAGTTAATAAATACAGGATCTTTTTCCCACCAATTGTCTTCGTTAGGAAGCTCAGTGTGACAGCCAGCTCGAGTCCATTCTCCACTAGGTCTATAATTAATCAAAAATGACATTCTATTTCAGTAAAATCTTTAATAAAAAATACATTTATTGAATATTTTAGTGATTAACCTTTCATAAGTAAACAAAAAAATTGATACTTACACTCTAGAAGTAGACCATCGTACACATTGTGGGTTAGATCGTATAGTAATTGGATGTTTATTGAGCCAAATTCTTACACGAATTAGAGATTCAAGTGGTGATCTATCAGATGGTACAGATACATCTCTTTTTCTAATTGAATGACGATATTTTCCTATCAAGAAAATTATCAATTTATTATGCTTTTAAAAATATTAAATTCATCAAATTTATAGCTGACCAATTAAAAATCATATTTAAATTTACCAAATAATACATTTAAAAATTAAGTATGCCTTCATAAATCAAGATTCAACTAAAATATATCTACAAAATTTTAATACCAATTTTGAAGAATTTTTTAATATTGCACACCTTTCTTCTTTTTTAGATACTATTCACAACTATTTATTAACATTATTAGATACTTGAGTTAACTAGGTGCAAAAGAATATATGTTCAAAAAATACTTTTAAAACCAAGTTCAAATTTTTATTTTTATTTTATATTCAGTAACTTTAGGACCAGTTTTAATAACTATAGAAATAGAAAGCTAAAAGTTGCAACCAGTCATTTTCTTAATTAAATCATTTTCTATTTTGTAAGCTAGTTAAATATACATGTTGTAATTTAAAAAATTTAAGGTTACACTCTTATAAAATATAAAGGATGATTTAAAAAATTCTTAATTATTTATAAATCAAGAAATAAATGAAACTAAAAAATATCAAAAATAATTTTTTTAACATAATTATTATTTTAAGAGAAGTAAAGTAACTAAAAGTGGCTATTAATAAAGAATCATTCTATAATTTGTGTACCTCAATTTATTATAAGCCATTGGTAGCTAGAATATAAGAGAAAGCCCCCTTCCTTTTAATATAAATATTGGATTGACATTGAAAGTTGTAAACATTTTCTGTAAAGATATGAAAAACGGTTTTTGTTTAATTTTAGTGGCTACTTGACACTGAAATTAAACGTGATATGAATATAGTACTAACAACAAAAATTTTATTGATTCATACATATTTCAATTAATTATGGCAATTTAAAGTTGAAAAAATTAAATATGAAAAAAAAATTTTAGCCCAAATATAAAATGATTTTTAACTAGGGCACATAGAAGATAAGGCATAAAGACAATTTTTTATTTTAGCTTATAACACGCAACATAAGCTTTAATTTAATATATATTTAAAGCTCGGAGTATTTACTGAACATTTTCAAAAATCAATTTGAAAAACTTAATTTTTCAAGCAAAAGTAGCAATCTTGAATCGCCCCCTTTAGATAGGTAAAGGGTCAGATTTTTAAAAAATAAATATACCTAAAATATTTATAAAAATTAATTTATTTTGACACATCCATTTTTAAAAAAGTTTAAAATCCTAATTTTGGAGGGTAATGTCATCAACTAGAAAATATATAAAAACATAATTGTAAAATTAATAGCTTTTCAGTTTCGCAGTGTTCTAAAATGTAATTTTAGCAGGACAAAATTAATATTAGTCAAAACTTCTAAAAAAAGGTTGATAACAATTGTTTTATATTGTTAAATCAATTTTGACCTCATTTTTTCATATATTCCCTTTTTAGTGGGATTATAGAGGGCCTTTTATCAATTTATAATATAACATATGAAAATATTTTATTAAGGTCATTGAATTCAAATTTGATATTAAACTTTTAATACCTTTCTTTTTAGGAGATTTTAAGTATTATATAAATTTTAATATCGTGAACACATTATATTTCACTATAGACTTGAACAATATAGATAGTTTTTCAAAACTTCATTTTGAACCATTTGGTAATCTAGTACAATTGTATAATTGAACGTTTACTGGTTTAAAACATCATATTATTTAATAAACTGATTAAATACAGTTTTATATTTAATATGTGACATTAAAATATTTAATTTTGTCCCCCTAAAATAACTTTTGAGAACACTATGGGTAGCATCAAAGCTAAAAAACATTATATTGAAGATTAAGTCTTTTATTAATACTTAACTAAACAGATACTATATTTTAAACATACCTTTTGAGCTATTATTTAAAGCAGCAACAAACGCCATAACTGATGAACTAACTTGAAGATCTACTGAATACCTTTTTAAAACAGTATCGTCATAGTGTAAAGGTAATAAAGCACCAATAGTACGGTATTGGACATAACCAACAACTGCATTGTTTTTAGACAGTTGTCCTTTAGTAGTAGTCATTCCTTGTTTTATTGGCTCTATTCCCAGTAAATCAATAGGAACCATAACTTGAGTATGTTTATCAAACTTTGAAGATTCAAGCAAGTAATTATTATATTTGGGTAGAACAACGACTGGACTACCAATTTTTTTCAAACCTAATATTTCAGAACCTGGCTTTATACTTAAAACCTAAAAATATTATTTTAGTTAAGAAAAATAAACATACTTAAATTAAGAACATAAAATGTTTACACATACTTGAATAGCTGGTTGAAGAATGGAAGAATCTGGTAAGTTAATTTTTTCCTTTGTAGCAGCAAAAGTTGACAAATCAGGGTTATCTTGTTCAGACTCAAATCCAAACAAACTTTCAGCAGTAACAATATCTAAACCAATAACTACAAAATAAATAAATAAATAAATAATTTTTTTTCTTAAAATTGCAGACCACATTTCTTTCTTTTCTTTTACCAATATTAGGAGATACAATTTCAAAAGGATCAGTGTATGTATCATGTTGAGTAGTTAATAGAGTTGTCACATAATTATTTATCGTATTCATCAAACCAAATGGACTTTCAGATGTTAAAATATTTAATTGTTGCCAATGATCACTTTCGTGTATATCCAATAAACGGCTTGAAGCCATTATTAAATTCTAAAAAAAAGTAATAATAATTTTTAGATAAATTTTCTCATAAAAACTTTTATAATTAATATGCATAATAATAATACCAAATTTATAGAACAATTACCAAAACTAAAACTATATATCTAAGATGGAAGAAGTAGTAGGATTGTCTATAGTACTTAAAAACTTCTATAAAACCTATAAGTTACCAAAACATTGCTCTATATACACAGCTGACACATACACTGCTATACTAAAGGCATTTTAATATATTCAAGAGAACAATATCAGAGACTCAATTATCTTGACCAATTCTCTCAGCGCACTTACCAACATAGATAATCTATTTAACTTGAACTTTCTGGTCAATTTCATACAAAACACAGTCCACTCAATACACAATACACTCAACACAGGAAAGTGCAAAATCAGTAAGTTGATTTTTTTAAGATTACTTGAGTGAAAAATATAGTGTAGGTAAGGTCATTTAACAAAAAAGTATAAAGCTAATAAAAATTTTAAAATTGTGATATTTTTTAACAGATATACATAATAAATAAAAATTTTAATTATTAAGTCTATTAAAGTGAATCCGGACAACAAAAAGTAAATTCAATAATAAAGATTATTACTATGCATATTTAGTTTGTAAAGCTCAAAAACTAAAATAATCATGTAAATTTTGTGTAACGTGGGTTACAGAGGTCATGGTCCTTATCCAATATGGATAAGTACCAACTAAATGATAATGTGTCAACAATTTGCAATCCACCAACGAAAATTACAACAAAAGTATTGTCAACTATAAAATATCACAACAATTCATCATGAAAAGTAGTTTAGAATATATATACATGAACTTAGCAATGTTGTAATATAACATTTACATGTGAGTAATTATTTATAATATAAATTTAACGTACAATAAATCCTATAACATACATATAAACACTGGGGTAGTTATTTTAATTCAATTAAATAATTTAAAATTAAATGGTACCATTGCCCTAATAACAATGGTGGTGCCCGGATACATTTAGGAACCAAGAGTTAAATACAACTTCTAATTTATACTGTAATGTCAATAAAAACAAAATATATTTGTTATTTCAATAATTATTAAAATAAAACAAACGTTACACATTGTTAACCTAATCTAATTATTTAAATAGCTATTTTATTGTAAAATACACTTGATATATATGTAATCTTGGCCTTTGCTGCTGCAGCCTTTATTTTAATTTAAAAAAAAATACATAATATACGTTATTATTACCTTCTAAGTATTCGTTATTAAATATTATAAATAATAATGAAATGTCTAAAATTTGTTTAAGGATGAGAGTGTTAAATATAATACATTAATGTGAAAATTGATTTATAAGGCATTATTTTTTAATTTAATTTGTAGCCTAAAATTGGCTTTATTATAAATAATAATTTTTATTATTACAATTATTCAATAGTATGTTTAAAAATATATTAATTTTTTAATAAGTCTTTATACATTTTGTTATTATTTCAACATAAAATGTAAAATAGTCCAATATGTTTAAAATAGAACTTTCATATGCTTTATAATTAAAGTTACATAAAATACGCACCTTAATGTAATCCTTGTCTTGGCTATGGGTTAAATTCAACCCAGACAAAGATCCTTCATGAGACAATAGTTGTCTAACTAATTTTTGACCAATAAGAATATCAGAACCATGAAGATCATGGGTGTTATTAAGTGCTTCATGGAGACTAATAGCACTATTAACTGCAACAAATGTGGTGACTTTCATCGACTTAGATTCTAAATCTTTTGTCTAGAATTTAAGTAGTTTTAAATTAATATTTATAAAAATAAAAAAAATACTATGAATAATAACAAACTAACAAGTTGTTGAAGTTCAATGAACAAATTGGAGACACAGTTAAAAGTATAAGGCCTTTGCCATCCATTTAATGTATTTTGACATAATCTAGTAGCTTTTCCTACAGAACCAGGTGGACAATTTTCAATTACAAGTTCACCCCATTTTGCTCTTGGCCACCATATTTTTTCAGATATACTTTTAGGACAACCATCGTAAATTACTAAAAAATATATATATTATATATATTATATATATATATACATAAATATTTTATTAATATACAGTAGAACCTTAATTAAAAATGTTTCAATTATACATATTCACAATTAACCCTTTTTTTTTTTTTTAATACGGCCGGCATTATTTTGGAACTGCCGTTAGGCATTATTTTAGGGCGGGCAGCCCACACGTTAATAATAATTTACACCATCACGTTGTGACTCAGCCAGAAATTAATCAAAAGCTGATTCACAACATTGTGTGGCCTCCCCCGTTGGGAGGGTTGTCACAAAACACAAAAACCTAAGGCGAAAACCCAATAATTTAAAACCAGCGCCTCAAGTCTTCCTGTACCGGGCGGCGTGGCTGTCTCTGTCTCAGGTGTTCTGCTTCGTTCTTCTTTTTAAAAACAGATTCAGTGAACACCTGGACAAGCCTCCACGCCTCTCAACTTCTCAACACCAGATCCACTATAGACCAAAGTTGGGATTCTAAAAAGTTCCGCTCCTGGACCCATGCCCTGCACCTGAAGAGGGTGTGCAGAGCGTTGTCTGACTCTCCCGGGCAATCCAAACAGTAGTCACACGTCAACCTGTTTTGCGAATATAACACAAGTACACGTTAAGTTAAAGTAATCGTGGGCAGACATCACTTAGGTGTGACAGAATGTCATCCCACAGTGAATCCGGTTCACAATTAACCCTGCTCTCCCAAAAATTTGTATGTACCAATAATAAAGTAATATATGCATAATAATTATGTGTGAACTATAAAATATATAATTTTATTTAATTCTGATTAATGCGTTTTTTATCAGTTAACATGATCATTAAATTCTAATTATTTTTTTTATGATAATAATATGACCATAATATTGTAGATTGAATACGAATAAAATAAAATTATAAAAAAAAAATTTGAATACCTTCACAACCATTTAAGGTAACTTCAGCATAAGAATTGGGACATTTATCACATTTTCTCCCAATTACTCCTGGACGACATTTACACTGTCCAGAAGTAGAGTCACAAGATCGGTCAAAAGAACCAATATTGTAACAACCACATTCTAAACATTTATCAGAATCATAAGGTGTAAAATGATTATCCTAAAATCATAAATTAGCAAAGTTATTTTTTTTCGAATGTTAAATTTTCTAAGTTGATTAAATGTTAACTAAATATTATTCATTAATTAGTGAATTGATTGAAAAAATGATTAAATTTTTATATTAATCTATTGAACTCATAAATAAGATAAACTACCTTACAATAACATTGACCAGTAGTTTTATTGCAATGAGGATTGTAACCATTATCTACCCTACAATTACATGGTCCACAGACTCCACGATGATGACCCCACCAGCTAATCGGACATGATTCTTGAAGTTCATTTTCACAGTATTCACCTATAAAAATTAATAGAATTGATTGAAGAATGTTAAAATTTTATTATTATCACGAATAATTTTTAAGTATGGCAATAGATTAGTAAAATTGTTTACAATATTAAAAGTAATAATTCTTTAACTTCTAAATAAATTAATGACAAATAAAATATATTTATTTAAAACTAATAAGTCGGTAGATATATTAAAATTATGTTTCAACTTAACTACTTTAATATTTTTAATTTGAAAAAAAAATTAATATTTAATTTTTTTAAATAATATCTGTAAAACTAATAAAAAAATTAAGTATAACTTTTATATTATAGAAATTATTCATAATTTTTATACTATTATATATAGGTCTGTGAACATTAAAAAAAATTAAATACAATCAAACAAATACTTCTTACCTGTAAAACTTGAAGACTTGCAATGGCATGTATATCCACGTACACTTTTAGGCTTTTCTTCACATATTGCATTATTTTCACATGGGTTAGTATCACAAATATTCTCACAAGTTTTACCAACAAAACCTGCATAATTAGTTAAGATTTTTTACTAAATAAATACTATAAAAACAGCAATTGAAAATGTTATTTTTTTAAAAATAACATTTTAGTCAATAATTTGAACAATTTTGATTATTAAAGATTTATTTTAATGTACAGATAGTTTAAGTGGTTTGAAACATTTATGTAAAAAAAAAAAAATTAATTATTTTTCAATATGCAATATGATATTAAATATCGATTGATAAATGTGATATCTGATTTATTGGAATCGAGTGCTTTTAATTCAATATTTACATCAATATTATAAAAAATTATATTAAATCCAAAAATCAGTCTGGATTTATCATAGACCTTATAAATTATTAAATAATACCAGATTTATTTTTTTTTTCATCAAATTGCTGTTAATTTTAAATAGTGCAATACTAATTTATACTGATTACTTTTATTCTGATAAAACCGTTACTAGAGTTACTATATTATGTAATTAAGAAAATAACAAGCCAATAACAACTCTTGTATTTTGGAAGTTATTAATAATTAAAAGTAATTACTTGAGGTGAAGTATAGGTATTTTTATTTTTATCAATTAATATTTCTTAACCTCACTTCTCTTGACACCTAGATATAAAAATGTTAATAACTTCCGAAATACTAAGCCTAAAGTTGTTATCGACAAGTCTTTTTCATAACTAGATCATTTTATAAGCTAGTTAAATAAGTATGTAGCCAATTGAAAAATTAAAGTGACGTCTTTTTAAGACATAAGGAAAGTACATGAAAAATACCCACCCTCAATAAACAATTCTGGATATGCCACTGTATATGAAGATAGATTTCTATATATAAAAAATGTATTTCATACCTGAATGACATTTACAAGTATAATTATGCCATGATGGTATACAATCACTATGTACTGGACATTTGTTATATTCACAGGGATTTTCTTGTTCACAATCTTCTCTTACGCGTATCATCATTTCAGGGATTTCTAAAACTGTTGTTCCACCACTATGTCCAATTCGTACATCCTATTTTAAGTGTTAGTAAAAATGTTCATTTTCATAGAAAACAAAAAACATAGTAAAAAAAAAATTCTTACTTTTATACAACCATTAAAACCTGAACTTTTATCTATATCTGTTAATTCTTCATTAAAGTTTCCTAATTGGATTTTTCCAACAAATTGTCCTTGTAATTTAGCATTAAGTGTTTTAACTAATGATCGAACTCCATAGTCTAACATAAATTTCACTCCACCTGTATTTTGCCATATAATTTCTAAGTTATGCCATTTACCATCATTTACTTTTACATTACTAAATACTGCTTTTTGACCATCAACAATATATACAATATAGCCACTTTCCAACTATAAATATTTTCATATAAATGAAAAATGTTTATAACTCATTCCTTTTAACTTACAAATACTCTGGCAGTAGTATTTTGTCCTATATTTACTGTCATGACTGGCGAATTTGATATTTTAGTTTTTAATGACAATGATGTATACCAAGGAAACTGAATAGTTCGTAACAACGGGTTAAAAGCTACAATACCATCTCCAGAAAAACGCCAAATTGATCGTAAAGCTATAAGAAAAAAATAAATATATAAGCTGTATTATTAAAAGTTAGAAGTTATCAACAGTAAATGAAGTAATTTTTGTGATTAATTTAAATTAAATTTATTATTATTTTTTAAAATATAAATTCTCTAGTTCTAACAATAAAATTATTTATTTTACTATTGAAAATATTTGAAATAAATATTTATATTTATTACTGATAAAAAAAATGTTTACTTACGTTGACTACAATCTTTTCCTCCCCAAGATTCTGGACATGTGCATTTAAAAGTTCCCCAATGATCTGTACAATGACCGCTATTTTTACAAGGATTATCCATACAAAATAATTTCCGTTCTGGACATCCAATAATTGTTCCATTATCAGCTACATAACTAATTTTAAAAATATAAAAAACATTACTATATGGACCATACACAATTAAATTAACAATAGATTTTAAATTTGACAGTGACATAACACTATCATAATGCAATTGTGCTTAAATATTGTCAAAAATTTAAAAATTAATCATTTTCACAAAATAATTTATCATTATTTTGGTTTGTCAACCAATATTATTACTAAGCAAAAATTCTCTATAAGATCAGTTATTGTCATGTTCTTTAGTATATTATTCGTTCTATAATTTTGCTTAATGTTATCTATATTTTAACATACATACAAATTTAACCACATTTTATTTAAGGTAAATACAATTATCTTAAATTTTGTTAGAAAACATTATGTTTTTATCTATACAATTTGATATTGGACTTAATTCTCAGGTATTTTATTTATAAGTATATAAAGTTTCCATGGGATGGAAAACATTATCAAATTGTATTCTGATACAATCTAAAAACCCAGCACAGGGGGGTCGGGGCACAGTGGTGACGTGGCATAGTTGGATCAAGTATAATGATATCTGACAGTGATTAAAATCACTATCAAAAAAAAACGCTTCGATGCAAATCTTTAGATAGTGTTTAATTTTAAAAAATTGGTGGATTATTCCAAAAGCTTCATAAACTGCTAGTTCCTTATTAATATCCTGATTAAGACAAAGTATGTAGAATAAAAAAGAGATTATTAGAAAATAGTATTTCCCATAAAAAAATTATATTGATCAATACACTTTTCAATAAGTTATAGCATTATAATGTTAAAAATGTAAAAAATAAAATTGAGAATTTTCACACAATAATAGCATTTGGTAGCCATTTTCACCTTGAAGATAAAATAAAGTCCGAAATTTTTTTTTTCCATGATAAAGTATATTACATTAGCTTTAATTTAAGATATATATAAAAGTGTCAGACTTTCCGGAACACTTTCAAAATTTAAGTTGAAAAAGTCAATTTTTTGTGAAAAAGTTGTCATTTTGAATCCCCCCCTGTAGGCAGGTAAAAAGTCAGATTTATAAAAAAAATATACCAAATGATAGGTAAAGACATCATGCATCTACAAAAAAAAGAATTATATTGATCCATACATCTTTCGAGAAGTTATAGCATTATAAAGTTAAAAATATAAAAAAGAATTTTTTTACAAAAATCGTATTTTTTTTATTAAGTTTAATGTCTGTTTTCACCATGAAGATAAAATAAAGTCCGAAATTTTTTTTTACCATTATAAAGTATATTACATTAGCTTTAATTTAAGATATATATAAAAGTGTCAGACCTTCCGGAACACTTTCAAAAGTTACGTTGAAAAAGTTCTACTTTCTATATGCATTTTTATGTTTTGAATCCCCCCTGTATTTAGGGAAATGGTCCGATTTAAAAAAACAGTATGTCGAATGAAAGATCTATATAAATACTACTTCTCATAAAAAAATTGTAATGATTCATACATTTTTCAAAAAGTTATAGCATAATAAAGTTAAAAATGGAAAATACAAAATCGAAAATTTTCACACAAAAATAGCATTCGGTAGCCATTTTCACCATGAAGATAAGATAAAGTCCGAAATTTTTTTTTTTCATAATAAAGTATATTACATTAGCTTTAATTTAAGATATATATAAAAGTGTCAGACCTTCCGGAACATTTTCAAAAGTTAAGTTGAAAAAGTACTACTTTCTATATGCATTTTTTATATTTGAAGCCCCCCCATATATAGGGAAAAAAGTATGTCCAATGAAAGATGTGTATAAATACTATTTCTCGTGAAAAAATTGTATTGATCCATACATTTTTTAAAAAGTTATAGCACTTTAAAGTAAAAAATGTCAATTATAAAATCGAAAATTTTCACACAAAAATAGCATTTGATAGCCGTTTTCACCATGAAGACAAGTCCAGAGGTCAAATTTTTTTTTTTCAAATTAAAGTATATTACATAAGCTTCAATTTAAGATATATATAAAAGTGTCAGACCTTTTCAAAACATTTTGAAAATGTTAAATTGAAAAAGTTAATTTTTTGTGAAAAAATTGTCATTTTAAATCCTCCCCTGTGGGCAGAAAAAAGGTCAAATTTATACAAAAAATATACCAAATTAAAGGTAATGTTCAACTTCAATTTTGAAAATGTTCCGGAAGGTCTGACACTTTTATATATATCTTAAATTAAAGCTAATGTAATATGCTTCATCATGNATAACTTTTTCAAAAATGAACATATTAATATAAATTTTTTTTATATAGATGCTTCATGTCTTTACTTATCATTTGGTATATTTTTTTTGTAAATTTAACCCTTAACCTGCCCACAAGGGGGGATTTAAAATGACAACTTTTTCACAAAAAATTAATTTTTTTAACTTAAATTTTGAAAATGTTCCGGAAGGTCTGACACTTTTATATATATCTTAAATTAAAGCTAATGTAATATGCTTTATCATGAAAAAAAAAAATTTCGGACTTTATCTTATCTTCATGGTGAAAATGGCTACCGAATGCTATTTTTGTGTGAAAATTTTCGATTTTGTATTTTCCATTTTTAACTTTATTATGCTATAACTTTTTGAAAAATGTATGAATCATTACAATTTTTTTATGAGAAGTAGTATTTATATAGATCTTTCATTCGACATACTGTTTTTTTAAATCGGACCATTTCCCTAAATACAGGGGGGATTCAAAACATAAAAATGCATATCAAAAAATTAATTTTTTTAACTTAAATTTTGAAAATGTTCCGGAAGGTCTGACACTTTTATATATATCTTAAATTAAAGCTCATGTAATATGCTTCATCATGAAAAAAAAAAATTTTATCTTATCTTCATGGTGAAAATGGCTACCGAATGCTATTTTTGTGTGAAAATTTTCGATTTTGTATTTTCCATTTTTAACTTTATTATGCTATAACTTTTTGAAAAATGTATGAATCATTACAATTTTTTTATGAGAAGTAGTATTTATATAGATCTTTCATTCGACATACTGTTTTTTTAAATCGGACCATTTCCCTAAATACAGGGGGGATTCAAAACATAAAAATGCATATAGAAAGTAGAACTTTTTCAACGTAACTTTTGAAAGTGTTCCGGAAGGTCTGACACTTTTATATATATCTTAAATTAAAGCTAATGTAATATACTTTATAATGGTAAAAAAAAATTTCGGACTTTATTTTATCTTCATGGTGAAAACAGACATTAAACTTAATAAAAAAAATACGATTTTTGTAAAAAAATTCTTTTTTATATTTTTAACTTTATAATGCTATAACTTCTCGAAAGATGTATGGATCAATATAATTCTTTTTTTTGTAGATGCATGATGTCTTTACCTATCATTTGGTATATTTTTTTTATAAATCTGACTTTTTACCTGCCTACAGGGGGGGATTCAAAATGACAACTTTTTCACAAAAAATTGACTTTTTCAACTTAAATTTTGAAAGTGTTCCGGAAAGTCTGACACTTTTATATATATCTTAAATTAAAGCTAATGTAATATACTTTATCATGGAAAAAAAAAATTTCGGACTTTATTTTATCTTCATGGTGAAAATGGCTACCGAATGCTATTTTTGTGTGAAAATTTTCGATTTTGTATTTTCCATTTTTAACTTTATTATGCTATAACTTTTTGAAAAATGTATGGATCAATACAATTTTTTCATTAGAAGTAGTATTTATATACATCTTTCATTCGACATACTGTTTTTTTAAATCGGACCATTATCCTATATACGAGGGCGGTTTAAATCTAAAAAATGCATATAGAAAGTAGAACTTTTTCAACGTAACTTTTGAAAGTGTTCCGGAAGGTCTGACACTTTTATATATATCTTAAATTAAAGCTAATGTAATATACTTTATCATGGAAAAAAAAAATTTCGGACTTTATTTTATCTTCAAGGTGAAAATGGCTACCAAATGCTATTATTGTGTGAAAATTCTCAATTTTATTTTTTACATTTTTAACTTTATAATGCTATAACTTATTGAAAAGTGTATTGATCAATATAATTTTTTTATGGGAAATACTATTTTTTAATAATCCCTTTTTCATTCGACATACTTTATCTTAATCAGGATATTAATAAGGATCTAGCAGTTTATGAAGCTTTTGGAATAATCCACCAATTTTTTAAAATTAAACACTATCTAAAGATTTGCATAGAAGCGTTTTTTTTTTGATAGTGATTTTAATCACTGTCAGATATCATTATACTTGATCCAACTATGCCACGTCACCACTGTGCCCCGACCCCCCTGTGCTGGGTTTTTTTTTTTATTAATTATCAGATTTTGTAATTTCTTTTTGTTTTTAACTATTTACTTTTCTAATGTTAACAAGGCTAGGTAAGTTTTTAATAACATTATTTAAAAAAAAAAAAAAAATTAAAAATGATAATATTTATTTTTAAAAACAAAAAAGTATCACTTTTTATATTACCATTGAGCTAAGATATATTTTTTACTAAATAGTTTAACTATTATAAGCTTTTGAAAGAGTAATATTCAAGGCTGACCATAAACTAATTTATAAGCTTAAACAAGTTAAATTTTTCAGCTTAACGGAGATTTTTAGATTTTATGTTAACTTAATTTCTCTATGGTCCAAAGTTAATTTAATGTCATAAACTTAACTTTTAACCTTATTTATTAAAGAAAAACAGATTAACTGTTATAACTCATCAACTTTTTTAAAATTTAATTAAGTTTTAACAAATTAAAAAAGACCATTTTCTTGTCCATCCTTGCTAACATTAGATAGAGTAAATAATTAAAAACTAAAAAAAAATCTCGAAAGCTGATAATTATTAAATTAAAAACCCAGCAAAGTGAGGTGACGGGACAGTGCGGACGTGGCATAGTTGGGTTCAGTATATATGATACCAGACAGTAATTAAAATCACTATCTTAAATAACGCTTCGATGCAAATCTGTAGATAGTTTTTAATTTTAAACAAGCTGAGAAGGTATGGGTTTTACTATGATGTGTTTTTTTTTTTGGGTGTATGTCTGTTACCACTTTTTTTCAGCTCTCACCGAACCGATTTCTTTCAATGATACGTCAAAAGATCACAAATCGTATCTAGTTGAAAACATTACCCTAAAAATTGAAAAAACTTCCCTCGTTCCCTGTAAATGGGAGAAATCTCCAAAGAATTACAATTTTTAAAATCGCTAAATTTTTTTTATTTTTTACATTTTTTTTCCTTAAAACTACTATACATTTTTCAACAATGAACAAATCAACATAATTTTTTTTTACATTGAAACTTTAGATATTTCCCTTCCATTTAATATAATTTTTTTGAAAATCTAACACTTAACATTCTCACGGGGGTATTTAAAATAGCATCTTTTTTACAAAAAATTATCTTTTTGAACTTAATTTTTGAAAGTGTTCCGGAAATACTGACACTTTTATATATATCTTAAATTGAAGCTTATGTAATATACTTTATTAATCACTGTCAGATTAAATCTATACTGGACCCAACTATGCCACGTCCCCACTGTGCCGGGTTTTTAAAACTGTTCTTATAGAAATTTAGAACTAAAATTAGTTACCTGTTTAAATCAAGTAATTTGTAATCTATATATACATCTGCTATGCATCCAATAAAATCCTTATTTTGAACTTGAAAACTAGTGGAATCTGGCAATAAAGGTAGGCCACCTATTTGAAGAGGACCAGTTAAATCCAAAAAACGATGGCAACTTTCAGTTAATATTTCACATCTAAATTATGAAATATCTTTTAAATTACTCAAATATTAAACTGTTATACTACTATTTTTATGTATAAAATATATTAAGTTTATTTATTATTAGTTTATTAAATAAAAAAAATGAAAACATATTCTTATAAAATGAAAATATTTAATGAGAGATTCTTAATAATTAGTACTAGTTGACACACTAGTATTAATGGTTATGCTCAACTATAATTAATCATATAAAAATATAAAAGATTAAATTTAATGATGAGTTAAGTAAATTTGTAGAAAAAAAGGTTTTAAAAATTACTAACTTTTAGTCAATATTTTTAAATTATAAATCTTTTTATTCTAATTTTAAATTTAAAAACTATATGTTATCCATCCTAAAACCTAATTCTCCCAAGTAAAGGATTAGTACCTTTCCCTCCTATTTTAAAAAATTATTAATAACATTTTATTATAAATTAGATCTGTTGGATTGGATAGAAGAAGTTATATATACAACTCTTTTCACATAAAAAAATCCTGATTGTACCAATAAATCCATACAATTCAACTCTTAGTTTTTTAATTACACAAAAAATACCTTTTTTCTAGACGTTGAGTAGATAAATTAGCACAAGTATAACCCAATTTTGTACCATACTTTACAGTTAAAGGAACATCACAATCATCTAAACTAATGGTTGCAGTCTAAAAATTAGAAATTAATATATTAGTATGTAATATATAACCAAATCAATCAAGTTGACTATTTATTGTTTTACCCTATTGATATATGAAACTGTAACTGTATGCCACAATCCATCATTAGCAATTCCATTAGTTGGATATGCAATAACATATGTGATCTCATAACCTAATGAGAATGAAAACTGTACACCACGACCTCCTTCAATTAATTCTAATGCAATAAAATCATGTCGTTCATTATAACGTCCATTGTACAATAATAATCCAGATTCTTCTAATGAAGAAAATTTTAATGATAAATGTAGACGATATCTTTGTTTCAAAGAAGGAAAAGTTAAAAAAGAAGATTTTGAAAAACTGCGAGAACGAAGTTTACAAACTTCATCATAGTATTCAGTACCCATTGGAGAACAATTGTTATCACATGAAAATCCTCCATTTTTTAATGGGGTACAAGTAGCACCTGAATGACAAATTCCAGGTTTACAATTATCATTACTTAAGCTTATTTCACAATTTTCTCCAGTAAAACGAGATGGACAAATACAAGTATATCCACTTTCTTTACTATGGCATTTTCCTCCATTTTTACAAGGATTTGAATAACACAAATCAACTTCTGTATCACACAGGTAATATTTCTGACTTCCTGTAAAACCATAAGGGCATTGGCAAGCAAATGTAGTCACAGGATAAATAGGTCTGAATAACACAGTATCACTGTTGATAAATGTAGAAGCATTACCAAATTTTAAAACTGTCAAACAAATTTCAAAGTTCAAGCAAGGTTCTTGAACACATAAATTATCTTCAAAAGGCAATATCTAAAATAAGGTTATAAATAAAATATTAACTCACATATCTTGCAATAAAATAAAAAATACTACCTGAACAGTAGAGAGACGTGTTAAAATTCCACGATTTAAATAAACTCGTTCTTGTAGATATTGTGGGGAGTAAAAGATTCCATCTGGCTGTTTTGCAGAAAAACTTACATTCAATACACGATTATCTACATCAATATCATTTTGTATGCTAAATATATAAATATTCTCCTTTGGACAAGGAATAATTGCTGCTAAACCAGATATAAAATATTCTAATAAAGGTGATAAAAATGCTTCTTCAGTCATATCGGCTAATCGTACAGTAACAGAGTTGAAAAGCATTTCATCAGTGACTAAACGTACAATTAATGTCATGGTACTTTTAATCTCGTTTACTCCATCTAAATATAAAAAATTATACAAGCTCTTGATTCTTGACATTAATATTAAACCTAAAATTATGGCTACATACCAGAAACTGATATTTCCATAGAAGCAATTTTTGGTACATTTGTATTTAATTGGGGTGATAAAGTAAGCATACCATTGGATTCATTTAGTTGCACTAAATTAGCATTGTTACCAGATACTATACGATATATTAATTTATCTGATACATCAGCATCGAAAGCAGGAACTTGGCTGAAAGGTCCAATTGGAAAATAGTTTTTAAAATTATTAAATATAACTTGAAAATCTGAAAGGCGGGGAGCGTTATCATTAACATCAGTCAAATAAACTGTTAAAGGTGCATCAGAGTGTAATGGTGGTGATGAGGCTCTCACAACAAGTTCAAACTTTTTTTTGTTTGATTCATAATCAAGTTCAACAGATGTCAGTAATTCTGCCTTATCAATTCCAGGTCTTCGTAAAAGAGAAAAACTGCTAGAATCTTCACCACCTATATAAGAGACACAATTAATGATAAATGATAAATAAAATTATTAAGATAACATATTTTAAAATAAAATTGTAAATTAAGTTTACCAATAATTGAATATTGAATAGCAGCGTTTGAACCTTCATCGGGATCTTTTGCATAAAGCTCACCAACAGTTGAACCAATTGGTGAATTTTCAGCAATATACATAACTAGTTTATCAGATTCAAAAACAGGTGGTGAATCATTTACATCTTCAATGCGTATTGTAACAGGAACCTAAAAATTAGAATTTAAATTTATTATAAAAGTAAGTAGTATAATTAATATTTTTCCTTACAGCGGTAGATAATGATGGTGAACCTTTGTCAATGGCAAATACATGAATATTATATTGTGGTATACTTTCCCTATCTAAAGTAACAGCTGTCCTCAATATTCCTGAAGTAGAATCAATCACAAAGGCTTCCACACCATCGCCCAAAGCATATTTTATACGTCCATTTAATCCAGAATCTGCATCTGATGCACTAACCTAAGTATCAAAAATTAAAAAAAAGAATAGAGTAAATTTTAATATCAAGTTTGTTTATTATTTTCAAAAATACTTGTAGAACACTAGTTCCAGTAAGAGCATCTTCAGACACTGAGCCATAATAAGATGCATTGAAAAACTGAGGTGCGTTATCATTTATATCAGTAATTGAAATTTCAACATCAGTTGTATCTGACAATGAAGGATTTCCACCATCCCGAGCTGAAACTGTGAGTAAATAACCACTTTGCAATTCCCGGTCTAAAATTTTAGTTGTAACAATAGCACCACTTTGAGCATTAATAGTAAATTCTGATGCATCACCATAACCACTTGCAAGTGAGTAAGTTATCTATTATTATTTAATTCAAAATTAAAACAAGTTTTTTAAACAATTATAATTTAAATTAAAAACATTTTTACCATAGCATTTTGACCAACATCACCATCAGTTGCAGATACAATAAGTACTGTTGTACCAACAGGAGCATCTTCATAGACACTGGCTATATATGGTGCATTATCAAATATTGGAGCAAAATTATTGGCATCAGTAACATTTACATAAATAGTAGCCGTGTCAAAAAGTCCTCCAGAATCAGTTGCAGTTACCTAAAAATGATTTGTACAATTACTTATAAAAGTAGTATTTATATACATTACACATGTCAATTTAAAATAATTAAATTAAAATTTAAGAATATATTTATACATACTGAAAGAATAAATCTTTTTTCTTGTTTATAATCTAATGGTTGTGATACAGTAACTATAGCTTTGCCACTATGAGTTGCAATTGCAAATCTTCCTCTAGAATTACCACTTACTATTTCATAATGAATTCTTAAAAAAAAAAAAATTATCATATGTTTAAATATAACAATACAATATGATGAGACGACAACTTTAATTTTAGAATAAAACTAAACTCAACTAAAAATAATTTGATCCACCATAACCAAACTAAAATTTAAAAAACATCTATTCAGTGGCTTATATCCAAAAACTGATGTATAACAAAAATGTTTTTTTAAATTTTTATATCATATTATTTGTTTAAAAAAAATGTTTTCTTTTGTGTAGCAAAAAATTATAAGAAAATTTTTATAGGAAAGTATATTTTTTACACTTCAAAAATGTTGTTTTATGTAAGACATCATTAAAATTTTAAATTTGTTTTTGCTTTTTTAAAAAATTAATATAGCAGCTTTTTATAGAATTTTAAAGTCCATTGAGAATGTTTTTAATGTAAAAACTTGTCAATTGGACTTTACAGTTCAAAAATTATATATTAGTTTTGTCACATTATAATTTCAAAATAAATTGTATACCTAGGGTTTTCGTCTGGATCTGTTGCTGTAATAGTAGTCAATGGTGTCCCTGGAGGCGAATCTTCACTGATTACTACATCATATTGCTTAGGATTAAATATTGGTTCATTATCATTGACATCTTGAATAGTTACTACAACACTAGCAGTAGCTGTTTTAGGTGGATCACCACCATCTTCAGCCACAACTTGAAATTGATATTTAGAGTTAATTTCGCGATCTAACAAGTGTGTAGTATATACCCAGCCACTTTTTTCATCAACAACAATTGGTATTTTTTCATTTGAAAAACCTTCAAAATCTCTTGATGATATATAATAAGTAAGTGCAGCATTTTCACCTTCATCTGCATCATATGCTTGAATTCTTACTATACTATAGCCTACTGCTACATTTTCCAAAACAGATTCTTGAAAAAGTGAAGTGTAAAACCTAGGAGGGTTGTCATTAACATCTTTGATGTTTACTAAAAGCTGCGTAGTATTTGATCGACTAGGATTTCCTCCATCTAAATCAAATTTAAATAAATTATTTCACTTAAAATTTAAATATTCAACTATATATTGATTTTTTGTAGATTAATTAACATAAGTAACAGTTTAATTAGTAAATTATATTTGCTAAAAACATGAAAGTGACTTATTGAATATGAAAGTGACCCTTCAAATATACAAAATCTGATAATTTTTGATAAAATTTTACTAACCCCTATAACCCTACAATCAATACGTTCATTACATATATTTTTTTATTCACAAAGGCTAACATACCTTGGGCTCTTATCATTAACCTATAACTTCGCATTGATTCATAATCTAATGATTTGACTAATGAAACTTCTCCATTTTGGCTATCAATAGAAAAATGTCCTTGTGTATTGCCACCAATTATAGCATACCTCACCACAGCATTTAGGCCTTGATCAGCATCAGTAGCTCTAAAACATTATAATTAGAGGGTATAGGGAAAAAACAATAATAGTCCATTTCTGTTAATTTTTCAGTAGAGCAAAAATAAAGTTATAAATTCTTATATTTTTAATGATATTACAAAAATAGACACTTAAATATTAGAAAAATGAAAACATTTTTCATCGAATGGATTTCATTGATACTACTGTTAATGGTCTATCGAATCAAACCATAAAATAAAAATAAAAACAAATGGACTACTAGTTTTTTCCTATACTGTTCAATTAGTAGTTCTATAATAAATTTGAATTTTATTAATTTGTTAATACAGGGTGATTTTTTTATCATAACCCACTCAATTACTTACAGAATAATAATAATTTAAAATTTTTTTTTTATTACTATCTTTAGTTAGACATTATTCTTGAATTTNTTACTATCTTTAGTTACACATTATTCTTGAATTATTAACTATGTAATACTTTTTAAGTTCATCCCTTATGCCTGGTAAGGGTGTCAACTTTGTTTTTTTAAATGGTAACACATATTTTTAATTTAATAAAATGTTTGAGTTTTTAATTCAACAATAAATGGCATTTGAATTTTTAATAAAACTTAATTTGTTTATTATATATTAACATTTAAAGTTTCAAATTTTTGAGTTAATATATAGGTACAATACACAAGGGATTACAAATACAGGTAGCTAATTGGTTTTTTATGACATCAATATTAGCAGGTACAAAGCATTGTTATTATCAATGGTAGTAAGACACATTGTTGTGAGTTTATAAATACACTAACTGACAATACAGAATGTATATCTATTGATAGTCATAATTGATAATAAACAATCCGTGACTGTGATAGCAATATCATAAAAAATCAATTAGCTACCTGTATTTGTAATCCCTTGTGTATTATACCTATATATTAACTCAAAAAATTGAAACTTTAAATGTTTATATCTAATAAACGAATAAAGTCATATTAAAAATTCAAATGACATTTGTTATTAAATTAAAAACTCAAACATTTTATTAAATTCAAAATATGTGTTACCATTTAAAAAAACAAAGTTGATACCCTTATCAGGCATAAGGGATGAACTTAAAAAGTATTACATAGTTAATAATTCAAGAATAATGTGTAACTAAAGATAATAATAAAAAAAAAATTTTAAATTATTATTATTCTGTAAGTAATTGAGTGGGTTATGATAAAAAAATCACCCTGTATATACTAAGGTCAATGTTAGACATGCAATAATTATAATATTGAAATGACAAAAAAAAGGAAAGTTTTGAAATACTCATTTTTTTATCGTTTGTATAAGCTTTTAACACTAAATACTCTTACTTAATGGTAGCAATTACAGGTCTCTGATTAGGACTTAAATCTTCAAAAATGTTAGCTGTGTATGCTCTTTCAGAAAACTGTGGGTAATTGTCATTATCATCTAACACTTTTACAACTAAAGTTGCTATAGCTGACTTTCGTGGAGATGGTGGTGTTGCTAGATCATTTGCTTTTATCATAACTGTAAAAACTTCACAAATTTCTCTATCTAAATTACGCCTCACACTGACTATTCCACTACGAAGATCTATTCCAAAAGTTTCATCAGCACTACTATTTAAACCACCACCAGAAATACTCTCAATAGAATATTCAACCTGAAATAATTTCAAATTTTTAAATAATAATTTTTCATAACTTTTAACTAAAGCAATGGCGGTGACATTAATTTTAGAATAAGAATTTTACCCTACTATTTTTTTTTAAGTATGTGATCTATAAATTTGTTCCAATTTAACCAACAAAAGCCAATAAGCATGCATTTTATTTATTTGTGTTTATATTAACATTCTCTCTTAAAAGTTATTACTTGTACAAGAGAAAACAAAAAAACCTAAATAACCTAGGTTAATGGAAACAAATCATAGTACTTACCAATTAATGTATCATGTGTTACCAACTGAGCTAAGTAGGATATCTAGCTAGCAATTGTAATACATTAACACACTAATTTTTTAATATTATAAATTTATACACACTAAAATATATTTAATATTATACTCGATTTTTCATTAAAATTAAAATTTAGTTAACAATTATTAAATTTGATTAGAATTTAAACCAAAAGTTATATAAAATTAACGATTATTTTACAACTATCAGAGTAATTCTTTAATCTTATTGAAGACTTATTCATCTTCCTCGCCTTAATCCCAACTACTTGGGGTCGGCCACTCTTATCCTAAACTTCCACTTGACACATCCTCTACGCTCACATCAGATATTCTCATATCGCATTCAATAGCATCCCTCCATCTCTTTTTTGGTCTTCCTCTACCTCTTCTTCCTTCAACAATCATTTCTATAACCGTTCTTACAGCTTCCGATTCTTCTCTTCTCATAACATGACCATACCATCTAAGTCTACTTTCTCTTTTGCACAACTGATCTTAAAATACTTAAAACTTTCCACCTTTCCTATCACATCTTCACCTATTGTCACTGGTCTCCTCATTTCACCTAACTTGTGCTCTCCTTTACAAAACTCGTACTCTATCTTACTCCTATTTATTCTTAAACCCTTTTCTTCAAGAGCTGATTTCCATACCTCTAGCTTAAAACAGAACCTTGATGGACTCCTACTCTTACCCGAAAACCTTCTGTTACTACTCCCACACTTTTTATCCTAGTACAAGTGCCATCATACATATTCTCTATTATATTAATGTACCTTTTCGGGACTTCTTTTCTCATTAATGCCAACTTAAGAACCTCTCTCGGTACTCTATCATTCGCTTTCTTCAAATCTATAAATACCATACACAACTTTTTCTTCTTTTCCCTAAACTTTTCTATAAGTTTCCTCACACAAAATAATGGCTCCATTGTTGACTTACCAGGCATAAATCCAAACTGGTTTTTCGATACTAATATCTCATTTTTTATTCTCTTATCTATTACCTTTTCATATTATGACTCATAAGCTTTATGCCTCTATAATTTCCACACTCCTGTATGTCATCTTTACCTTTAAATATCGGGTTGGGTTGGGTTGGGTTTTTTATTTAATAATTATCAGCTTTCAAGATTTTTTCTCGAATAGTGATACTTAAAAATTGTTACCTGAGAATTAAGTCCAATATCAAAGTCAGTAGCTCGTATAGTTGTAATAGTTGTACCAATTGAAATAGATTCTCTAACTGAAGCTTCATACATTCCAGAGGCAGATTCAAAAACTGGAGAATGGTCATTTGCATCCACAACATTTATCTGAAGTGTAGTAGTTGATGTTGATGAATGAGGAGATGTATCTATAGCTATTACTCGTAAATAATGAACATCCATAAATTCCCTAAAAATATATCAGTAATTTATAACCAATATTTTTTTAAATTTTAAATGTATATGTATTTATGAACACTTTATCAAATGATTATAAATCATAATAAATACCTGTCAAGTGATACTAAGGTAGTAACCAAACCCGAATTAGAATCAATGGTAAACATCGCATGAGATCTAGTATCAATAATTGGACTCATTTGATATTCTATGGGATTATTATTTGGTGGCATACTTCTAGCATGAACACTACATACAATTGTTCCAGAAGGAAGTTCTTCTCCAACACTTGCAACATAAAGACTTCTTTCAAACTGAAGTCCACTATCACTCATTTCAACATCTCTCCGTACTCTTCCAGTTTCAGTTAAACTTCGTTTATGCCAAAGTATCATCTAAAAAAAATTTATTTATTTTAGTAGAATTTTACCAATATATCAGTAATAGTAATAATTGTAATAAATATACCTTAATGAAATGTTCTGAAGAAGAAATAATCTCACTATTAACATCACAATTATAAGAAATCATAACAATAACAAACATCGGATCAAGTGTTGAACAAAAGTTTTCAGTAACTACTAAATCGCCATTTTTAGATTCAACATTAAACCTAGTATCGCTAACATCTACATAGCGAACTTTACATTCATTCATAATACTTTGTGGTATAACAGAGGAACCAAGAGATATCACAAACTCACTTTTTCTCCAACATTTTTTATCTAATTCATCGTTTAATAATCCAATACTAGATTTAAGACTAAAAAAATTCAATATTACAAAGATTTTAAAAGTAAAAAAAAATTATTTATTTACTTGGCTGTTGATAAAACAACTGACACTAATGTTTTGCTTGACAATTTTTTTGCTAATTCAATACGAGAATCTAATTCACCATTAATTTCTGAAAAATAAATATAAATATATGATACTAGAGAAATATTAAAAAATAAAATATTTTTAATAACGCAAATGAGAAAAACAAAATGAAAATTTGATAAATAAAATAATTAAACATTTTTTTTTTTATTTCAATAAAATATACTTATAAATAAAAGTAATTTATCAGAATTTTATACAATAAAATAATTCATAAAAATAAAATTACACTAAATTCAAACAAAAAATTAGCTAAGAGTATAAAAATGTGTAAATCTTCTTCTTTTATCACACCTTTATTCTAAACTTCCACTTGAAACAATCTCCCTCAACATTATCTACGCTTACATCAGCCATCTTCATATCGCATTCAGTAACATACCTCCATCTCTTTTTTGATCTTCCTCTACCTCTTCTTCCTCCAACATTCATCTCTATAACTGTTCTTACAGCTTCCAATTTCTCTCTCCTCATAACATGACCATAACATATAAGTCTATTTTCTCTTTAGCACAACTGATCCTAAATACTTAAAACTTTCCACCTTTCTATCACGTCTTCACCAATTGTCACTGATTTCTTCACTTCACCTACCTCGTGCTCTCCTTAAAACTATCCTTAATTTCTTAAAAATTCTTAATTTCTCTTAAATATTTAATTATTTATTATTAACAAAGTCAACAACTAGAAATGTACTAAGTTAACTTACTATTATTTTCACATCCTTTTATGACTATTCTTAATGGTACAGACATGTATTCTATAGTATCATTAGATATAGAATCAACATAAAATGTAAAAACATCTGGGTACTTAAATCCATCACATTCTAATGGTTGTTCGAGAATAACTGATCCAGTAAAATGATCTACTCTTAGTAACTTGGATATAAAATTTGCATTTTTTTCAGTATTTAAAGCATAGTGCCTCGGTGGTCGGCCATAAAATGGAGTTCCTCCATCAAACAATACCAAACCTGGTGAATCCGAATCAGTCACTACCAATAGGTAAGGATGCACCGGTCTAGATAAAAATATCAACACAGTAATATAATGCTCCAACATTTTACTACTTGTTCAATCAACTATTTCACTAATTGACTAATTAGCATTGATTAAGTTAACCAGGAGACGTCCCCATGTCTGCAATCAAACAGTTCAAGTTAGTAATTTGTTTTGAATAAATACTTCATCATAACATAATCTTAATTTTTAGGTATTAAACATTTACAAACGTGTTAACACTTTTAAACTTAATAAAAAAATTCGGACTAATATTTTTCCGCAAAAAAAAAGCACTATTAATTTACAATAATAAATAACAATGATAAAAACGATTTAGTTAAATCGAAAAGTAAATAGAAATTTAGAGATAATACTTTTTTTATTAAAAAAAATTCACTCTTGTTTAGACGTCATTATGTTTAAACTTCGAACGGTCGTAGGCACTACATACAACAAACAAATAAAACGAGTTACTCACCTTTCTGAGTGAACGAAGAAAACTGTCGGGACACCGCTGTAATGTGTACATCACGCCAATGACCGAGGTCACACTATTACTATCAATACCACTACGGCGAAACAACTACTGCCGCCACTGAATCTTTCTATTCACTCTTCGACTACGCGCCATCGGTTGTTACAAGTAATCAATTGACAGTAAACCAGGGGTTCGCAAAACACTGGAAGGAATTTTTAATTACCTATGACCACATTTAAGTGTATATCATAAGTACACTATATGTATATAGATACACGCACTACTACTCTTAATACTATTGAAGATGAATATTTTACTTAAGACTACTACAAATTTATTGAAATTATTAAAGAAGAGAAAGGCTCTCTTTTTAATACATGGCTCCTTTTTCATCACAATGTATACTATACTAAAGTAAGCCAATTTGAATTTTTACTGAGTATTATTATAATAGTGGTTAGTCGATAATATTTAACTTATAAGTTACTATGACTCATGGCTATGAGCATATTTGAAATAAATAGAAATAAATTGCTTTATGGTACAACTTGGTAGAAAGTGTTGTATTACGCCAAAGAAAAAGTAAAATTCGCATTGTATATTACTTGTTATTTAGACCAAAAGGCCCAAGGATCACACGTTCCCCTTGTGTGGCAAGATTGTGACCCAAGTATCATATTTCACGTAGTTTCGTGCTATTGTTAAAAACGCTGGCAGACGCAGAGCTCCCCAAAAATTTGCCTATTTACTATATAGAAAGAAGCATCATTCGTGCCACTGTTTATAGTAATTAATATTTTTGCAATCACTCTATTCTGTAACCTCACATTATACTTTTTATAATCACAATAATCCTCTACAATGTAGAATATGTAGTCTGCATAGAATTCGCTTTTTACTTAATAACTAGCCTTGCCCACTTTTACTTAGCACAATTTTTACTGTTTTTAGTTTATTTTTCTAACTTTTTTGTTATCACAATGTCTGGTTCTAATTAATTCATTTCATTAAACTATTTATTATTAATTAAGCCTATTTGAATATTGTATTATACTTTAATTAGTTGATTAAATAACTAAATAAATAAAATTGTTAATATGGATCTACCAAAAAAAAAAAAGGTTAACTTTTTTAATTCAATGATTCTGACTTTCATTAGTTTATTGTTACTTTAGTTATGAAATTGGAATTGGATTTGTCGTAATATGTTAAATGCTTTGCATTACGCATCTTACAATTATCAATGAAAAATGTATAATCTGTAATTTAAATAACTTGTAATCAAACAAATAAATTATCTGTCATAACTAGAGGTCGGATTTTTATGATTTTACATATTTGTTTCTAGTCTATGCAGTTAAATGGGAGTGAGAAATCTTTACGATTCATGAAACACAGAATTCACAAGAAAAAATGTATTTTGCATAAAAAAGCATATTTTAGGGGTTAGAGAATATTTGAGAATATTTTTGTAATATCGGCATATAATGAACATATTTGACGTATATCAGCACTTTAATAAATACAATGTTCATTAAATGGTTTATTTCTGGGTTTTAATATAAATTAATCTCCAGGTATTCCTTATCGATTGCGATAGCACATCGTTTATTTCGTAAGCTGTCACGACTATTCGTCGTCTACTAGTCGTGCGATATATTATTGCTTATATATTGTCTTTCCACTCGTCTCATATTACTTAAGTTATAGTAATTGTATTTTATAGACTATAAATTATAGTCTATAACATACAAATATGCCAAAAACTTCAAGTAGTTTAAAAAGTTTATTTGCTTAGTGGATTTCGTCGTACAATAACCAACAAACGATTTTCACGACAAATGGTGCAACAATTTTTTGTCAAGTTTGTGACAGAAATATTCCTTGCACAAAAAAATCACAGGTAACACAACATGTACATACGGCTGTCCATAAAAATGGTTTAAAACGTAAATTAAATACTTCATCAAAACAATTATTTTTATCAGAAGCTACTCTCAATGAAAACAACTTAAATGATTTTAACAAACACTTGTGTCTAGCCTTAGTAGCAGCTAATATTCCTTGGTATAAAATGCAAGTTCCTCAATTACGTATATTTTTAGAGAAATACACTGGCAAACATATACCAGATGAAAGTGCATTACGTAAAAATTATCTCGAGCCATGCTACCATAATACTTTAACGAAAATTAAAACTGAAATTGGTGAAAATAATATTTGGTTTGCTGTAGATGAAACTACAGATACAAACGGTCGTTACGTTGCAAATTTACTGGTGGGAATATTAAAATCAAATACTCCGACTCGCCCATTTCTCCTGACATGCAAAGTTTTGGAAAAAACTAATCATTCCACTATTGCTCGGTTTATCAATGATGGACTAAAATTATTATGGCCGTTGGGTGGAAATGACGAAAAAGTGTTGGTAATGTTATCGGATGCAGCTCCATACATGACAAAAACCGGTGATACACTAAAAGTTTTCTACCCAAATTTAATTCACGTTACGTGTGTAGCTCACATGATGAACAGGGTTGCAGAGAAGGTCAGAGAAATGTTTCCAAATGTTAATAAATTAATCAGTAATCTAAAAAAAGTATTTTTAAAAGCGCCATATCATGTCCAGGTGTACAAAGAAATATTGCCCAATGTGCCATTACCCCCAGAACCCGTTTTAACTAGATGGGGAACTTGGCTGGAAGCCGCAGTATTTAATTGCGATAATTTTGAGTGTTTGAAAAAGGTTATAGACAAATTAAGTGAAGAAAAGTCGTCAGTCAGTATTCAAAAATGCAAAAATATATTACACCTACAGTCTGTAAAAAATGATTTGATTTTTATTAAAACTAATTTTCTTCAAATTGTTACAACTATCAAAAGTTTGGAAAAATCAAATACTCCCTTGGTTGATATAATAAATATTATTGAAAACACTTTTACACAACTTGAAGAGATACCAGGAGAAAAAGGAGAAGTAGTAAAAACAAAAATATTGCAACTTCAACAAAAAAATAAAGGATACAAATTTTTAAAAAATATTGGACAAGTTCTTAGTGGAAATAACACAGTACAACTTCCGGAAAATTATTCACCGATTATGGTAGCCGACTTGCAATATTCTCCAGTAACATCGGTTGATGTCGAACGATCTTTCAGCATCTACAAAAATATTCTTACAAACCGGCGTACTAAAATGACACCGGAACACATTGAACAATATATAGTAATTAATTGTTATTGTAAAATTAATTAAATTAAATATATTTAAAACCAAATTAATAAAAAATAAATTGAAATTGAATTTTTTTTTAATATTCAAAGAATATTTTGCTTACTTAAGGACATAAAACATCATATATTTGGTATTTTAAAAGAATATTAAGAGAATATATTGCCTATTTTATGTGACATAAAAACATCATATTTTAAGGATTTTAAGAGAATATAAATCCGACCTCTAGTCATAACAAATACGATGTTCAACACAATTTCTTATTATTTATATATATGTCAATTTATCAATTGTTAAATATGCTATCTCAATATAATAATCATGTAATGTATAATTAAATACAATAAACTAAAAAGATCACTAAAAGCGCTGAAAACAATATCCCTACTATCATTTTACTATAAAAAGCACTGAAATCCTTTCAGACTTCAGAGAGGCAGAAGGAGTGAGAGAGTGACGAGAGTTCGTTCTCTCCAAATTCAAATAAGAATAAAAAAGAAATAATTATCAGTCACAGCCCTGTGTTGTTGTCGGCTGACTTTACGCGTTTTATTTATACATGAAAAGAATTTGTTTTAATTATTTATCTTTTGACGAAGTGCGAATTAAATACTTTTAAACATATATAAGCATATCGAGATATTTATCAAATCATTTTACAGCAATTTGCAAGAATAAAAGAAGTAAGTAATTTTATGTTATCCCAATTATTTAGAGTTAATAATCTGAGTAAAGAACGATAAAGCAATAGATCTATAATTCCTTTTAACATCAAGAGTAATTTTGATAGTTTGTTCACACCTACTACATATACACATTACAGGGTCTCGAGGGTCGGATTACCGCCTCGTTACCTCAGTGTCCTATTAAAGGTGTTTACAAATTTATTAGCTCATATTCCTCAATAAAGAGGACATAAATTTATTTCTTCATATCTACTTGTCTTTATTGTTCTAAACCCTCGAACCATACGATCCCAATAGAACCACAACATCAGGTTTTCACCTTATACAAATACCCAAGCAACCATCATTATTTCTATTTTTATATTATTTAATTTTTGTTAATTGAATTATAACAGATTTTATCATTTGCAATTAAGAGATAAATATATACTTATTGGCTTGACATTGAAAGCTGCAAAATTTCTCACTGAAAATATTTATAACTAACATGTTAGTTAAAATACAAATACAATTTTCTATTCAACATAAATTTGATTGATTAATATTATTATTTCAACATAGAAATTACATCACGCAGAAAAATATAAAAAACGATAGTACAGTGAGATTACGGCATAGTATGGACATGACATAGTATTCAGACAAGTATAAATGATATCTGGGAGTGATTAAATTCACTATCATAAGAAAGGCTTCGATTCACATCTGTAGATAGTGTTTAATTTTAAGAGATTGGTAGATTATTTCAAAAGCAACCATAACTCTTATTCCTTTAGTTTTATCCCGATTAGTTATTTGATTTATAATAATTATATATGAATTAATAATAATTTTAGTAATGAAATTTCGTATAAAATTGATATTCAATAATACAATATTGTAATTTTTACGGAGATATTATAAAAATAAAAAGAAGTATATTCATATATTTTTAACGCGTATAAAAATTTAAAGGGATTGATGTAATACTTTTTAATAAAAAAATTTTGTTACTTATGAATAAATACACTAGACTACAAGGAACTTTCATCAAAAACAAAAATATACTTTTCTAAATCAACTTTTCGCGATGTTTTCAAATGTGCAATTAGACACTGCAATTTTTATCACTTCTAAGTTTTAATATTATTACTTATTATTAAAAAATAAGTATTTACATATAAAAAAAAAAAATTAACATTAAAGACCATGTTTAG